ATATATATATATATATATATTATTTATAGATATGTATAAATGAGCAAAGTACAATTTCATCAGTTAGATAATTGATGCGAAAAAAGGTGGTCAACAGATTACGTTGAAACATTTCGTAAAAATCGTATTGCACGGTAAAGATTTTTTGGTAACTCGAGTTCTTGACTGACCCACTAACATGTGGATTTCAAAGTAAATATTAGAAAAAAACAGTTAGCATTAACAGCATAATTATTGTTCCGCATATGTTAATTGACAGCATTAATCTGTTGATTTCAACTACAATTTTCTACTCTGGCTTTATCAATTAAGCGCTCAAAGAATAGTTGTCGAAAAATCCCAATTTGCGAAGCAATCAGTTTAGGTATACAGAAGGTGTGACAATGGCAAAAATTTTGGAAATTAATTGGCAGTTTTTTTTTCGACTCTTTGAAATACTCGGAATATTGTTTGTTCAGTAAATAAAATGTTAATGATAGCTATAGAAATTAAAGTGGAACTTTTTTAAGCACTGGCCATACAGAAGTGACCAGACTTGTGTGGTTATAAAAGGGAGAAATTTTCTTTTCTAGCCATCATCTTTTGACATCTTCAGCCACTTACAATGGTGCCTACTGCCTTACTGTAAGTTTCACATTAATTCATTGAAACTATTCCTCGAATTAATTCTTTCATCCTACTTTTATTTTTGCAACAACCATTAGTTTTGAACCTTTTACCTTATAGGCTGACTTTGCTCCTGACAACTTCATCCGGTCATCCGCTATATCCAACTCTTGAAACGCAATCACACGTTTCTTACTCATTCGCGCCGGAATCGCAACAGCCACTAGCAGCGGTAGCAGCATTAGCACGTCAACTATCTGCAGCACCAGTTAACCATCGGTCCCCTTCAGCACCAGTACCGGTAGAATCCGCATCATCACGAGCAGTAGCTGAAGCGGTATTATGCTCCATTTTCCAGTGCTCTAAATCAGTTACCTCTTCCGTTTCGACTTCAGCGAATCCACCGGTCCCTTTACATTACCCGCAAAATGCTGCCCCATTAGCTCGTGCTTCGCTAGCAACAGTAATATCTCCACCAGCACCACAAACAGCACCAGTGCCTGCTTCAGCACCAGTACCGTTTCCATTTGTGGCTTCCCCTCCAGCAATGGCCTCATCCACGATGTCACTACCTGTCGCAGCACAAGCTCCAATCCCAGCTCCACTTGCGACACCTGTATTGCTTTCAGAAGCTGCCCCTCTCCCAGTTACCGTTCCAGAACCGTTGCAAGCTGGCCTTTTATCTGCAAATGCATTAACAACAAGTGCGACTGTCTACAATCCTGTCGCTAACCCCGCTGCAGCATCGGCCTTGACTTCTCTCTCTGCCGCAGTTCCCTCCCTTTCTCCTCCATCAATATCGTTAGCTTCTCCATTGGTTATGCCGTACGCAAGACCATTATTTGAGCCGCCACCAATAATTCCAACAGCAGCAACATCCGTCGTGCCTATGGCCGCAGGTGTGAAACCGCAGTTATTCGAAACTTCGGTGTTAGCTCCAATACCAGAGTTTCCTACTTTGATCACTGCTCCTCCGGCAGCTCCCCTGGTTCCAGCTTATGCGCCGTTTGCAAGGGCGTATTTCGTCGGGAGCAACAAAGGAAAGAAGTTGGGCAAAAACATTAAGAGTATTTGAAGATGCCGAAAAGCGAACGTTCAACCTACTTTCCAGTATTAATATCTATATATATAGCAGATATATTAATTTATTCACTACATTTAGTATAAAATGCTTCCCAAGCGTCTACTAAACTTTCAAAGCATATCTTCACCTCACTGAAGAAATTTCGATAGGCAATCAATTACACAGATGTGTAATAAATAAAACATAACCGGCAGTATAACCAATTAATTTTAAGGAAGTTCGTAGCAGTCGTCAGTATCCCACGAAAATAAAAAATTTTATCCAAAGGAATCAAATAAATGATATAATTCGAAATAAAACATAATCCTTCATCACAAACATTTATCACAGTTGCAACAGAAGAAAAAGTCAAAGAATTGACAGCATTTTTGATGGCGATCTGTAAATTAGATGTAATTTTTTGCTTCATCAATCAGGGTGAAAATTCCAATATTTGGCGTTTTAAACTACAGTCTAAGATGCAGGCCTATTACTCCAAAATGGTTTTTAAAACCCCAAAATTATAAAGATTTGTAATTTATAAAGCCGCAGTTTCAAAGTATGTTAGTTTCAATTCTAATACATGGATAATTTTGAAAAAAGATTTATTCAGTATTGCCTCTATTAAGCCAGATGTTTTTTTAACCATGCAGTTTACTGCAGGTCTATAAGAAGAATTATTTAGGAAATGGCCGATAGAATCATTCGCTCGTTGCCCAGTGTTGTGTACAAGAAGTGTTCTGCTTCTTCCTTAATTAAGCACTTGCAGTTTAAAGAAATTCTTCTGATTAATTCGTTCAACTTACTATGCTTCAAAATATGAATAATTACAACTAAATGTAGGAATAAATAAATGAGAAATAAAGGATGCAAAGAAAAGAAAGTGCCTGAAATAAGTGTAAGTAACATGCATCACGTTCAGTCTCAATAGCTTTCATCAAGGTTATTCATCGCAAGGCTAAACGCGTGAGAACTATTTTTAAGCTGTACGGATACATTGAAATCACGAATTTTGTATATCTTTGTCAAAGTGGCTTCGGAAAAATCACTGAATTTTGTTGATTCACCGTTACTCCTCTTACGAATAGTTGTGTATTCTGAGTAAACATTTGGGTCTTCCTTCAACTTCGTTGTTT